CTCATCCGCGGGAGCAGCTGCCGGGCCCTGCCCACAGCCTGCGCGGCTTGCACTCCCCGCAGGGGCGCCGGGGGTCCCGGGGGTCCCGGGGGTCCCCGTGCTCGCCTGCACCTGCTCCCGCTCCTGTTTGGCTCGCAGCCGCCTCGTGAGTGTGAAGGGACCTGGCTGTGGTGCTGACTGTTTTCCTGCCGACAGATGCCGTTCAGTGTTTTTCACGTGCTCGCCCCTCCTCTGTGTATCTTCTTTGGAGAAATGTCGATTCAGACCCTTCGCCCATTTTTAATTTGGGCTGTCTTTTTGTTGTTGAGTTGGAAGAGTCCTTTATATATCCTGGACACTAGACCCTTAGCAGATGGATCATTTGCAAATGTTTTCTCCCATTCTGTTGGGGGGGGGGTGTCTTTTCACTTCTTAATAGTGCCTTTCCTGCAAAAAGCTTTCGATTTTGATGAACTTTCTTTTTTTGCTTGTGCTTTGGCGTCATATCCAAGAAACCGCTGCCAAATCCAAGGTCATCGAGATTTTACCCCCGTGTTTTCTTTCTTATATGTGGGTTTTCGACCCATGTCGAGTTACTGCTTAGTATGTGGTGTGAGGCGAGAATCCGCTTCATTCACGGGCATGTAGATCACCAGCTGTCCCAGCCGCACTAGCTGAAGACACTCCTGTCAAGGCTGCTAGGATCGTGATGGGGTTGTGCTGACTCTGCAGACTGCTCTGGGGGAGAACTGCCCTCCTGATGACGTTAAACCCCCCAATCTGTGGGCTCGGGAAGTCGTTCCACTCTTCAGGTCCTTGACGCCTTTCAGCAGTGGTCCCGTCTGAGGGTCCGAGCCTTGTGCGTCCGTGGATGAGTCTATACCTAAGCATATTATTCTTTTGGATTTGGGGCGTAAGACCCCCAGCCCGTGAGCAAGAGGTGTCTGTTTATCTAGATCTACTTCACTTTTCCCGACGCTTTGTCACGTTCAGAGGACAAGTTTTGCACTCAGTAACGCCACGCCGCCCGTCGACTCCTCTGTGAGACGGGTGGCAGGGCGGCCACCCCCCCCC